CCAGAGTGACAAATTTGTCCGAGATATAATTACTATACTTCGTTGAATGCAATACTAAAACTGAGTGCCAGTAGATGCCTGAGTAACTTTTCTTAAATCTTGGATACCCTCTGATTACAATGCTTAGTGTGGTATAGAGGGAAAAAACATGGTGTCAGAAGATCTGATATCACTTCTTGAACCTACTACCTATCAGCATTGTGACATCAGGAAAAATCACATCATTTCTTTGAATCTGACTTGTTAGTTATCAAAAACTTAGTTGAACTTGATAGTTTAACTGTCAAGGACATAATTTCTTAGTGATCCAATAATTGATGATATTGTGAAGATAAGGTTATTTTACAAACTGAAAATAACTATTCAAGTTTTACTTCATTTGTATTATTAACAAACAATGTGATTTGAAAACAGAAGGGAATTAATGCAAGAATTAGGACCAGAAGATATCAAGGAGGCTTCACAAAAATGGCATTTGGCAAAATCATTATGTTTTCAGTCCTTTCCGTTTTCTGGTATGAATCAGGCATAAATTAAGGAATTCAACACAAATTGACCATTTATTTTGTGCTAGACCCTTGCTACATTTTAAAGGTGCCAAAATACCCATATTGTGATTCTTTTAAAAAATATTTTCATTTTTAATTTTTGTGGGTACATGGTAGGTGTATATGTTTATGGGGTACATGAGATGTTTAGATACAGGTATGCAATAGGAAATTAGCATATCATGCGGAATGGGGTGTCCATCCCCTCAAGCATTTATCTAATTACACTCTTTATGTTTTTTTTGAAATGTAAAATTAAGTTATTATTATGGTTCTTGATCTTATAAAGATCACAATCTTGTGGGATTCCTACATATTTGCTGAAAACTCTGTTTCAGGCAACTGTTAGGTTCCAACAATATAGTGGGGAATATGGAAGGCACTGACATTGTCTTGAAGAGCTTACATGTGGGCATAAAACATAGATTTTTCAAAAAATCAATTTTGATACAATGCCATAACTGCTATGTTAAAGGACTTGTAAGCTGTTAAGGGAACCCATTTGGGGGGTACTTAAACTAACAGGGAGAGAAGAGGAGAGTGTTTAGAAGTGGTGTAAGTCAGTGTTCCTCAAAGCTGAAATGCATAAGATTCACCTGCGGATCTTGCTAAAATGCAACTTCTGAACCAATAGGACTAGGATGGAGCCTGAGACTCTGTATTTCTAACAAGCTACCAGGTGGTGTTGATGCTTCTGACCAGTAACTTGCAATGAGACTTATGGATGTAGGAAACACGATAAGTTTTAAAGTAAATCATTCATTTGACATCTGTGACATGATTTTGCCTGATTGGTCTTTCTTTCTGGAGAAAACAAACAACAGAATTAAAGACCAAATCATTTACTTTCCTTCCAATGATTCTCAAAAGCTCTAAAGAGGTATGCTTTCTAGGGAGGCATATCTAAACTATCAAAGAATTTTGTTTAAGAACTAAGCCCACCCCAAGCCCTTGGTGCTCCCTTTGCCTGATAATCACTACTACAGTGAGCCCCTTTAAATAAGAGATTGTTGAAACTGTGTATCCTGAAGACATGTTGAGATTGAAAACCACTACTACCATTTAAAGCCTCACACAGATTTAGAGTTTGATAATATCCATGAAATCTGTTGATAGTTTTTTTCCTTTAATTCTTCTAGCTTTAAAATATCATTATGGAAATAATGTTAAAAGTCCCTCTTTTCATTCTTCTTGGGATATAGGGATGGGTAGGCAAGTTGACTGTCATGTTGAAGAATACACAGTAATATGAATGACATTGAACCCAGACAATTATCATAGAGTGGACAATATACTGTGTATACCTTTAGACAAAGTCTGGGTGCCCAGCTCTCCTTTGTGTGGCTTTAAATGAATCAGTTAATTTCTCTAAGTCCTAATGGCTCATGTTTAAAAAAGGTCAATAGCATATGGCTCAGGGAGTAGGCATCAGGATCCAGTGAAATGATGTGGGTAAAACAGTTGGCAGCTAGTAGGTTTTTCATCAATGTTAGTGTCCTTTCTCTTCCCCACTCTATTTGGAGTAAGAGAAGTTTGGATTTAGTGTTCTCTTTCCACCATTTTTAAGAAAGTCTTCATCTCTATCAAACAGAAAGCCTAGAAAACATCTGCTGCTTTTCCTTTCTCTTGAAAAACATGTGTATGAAAATTAAGGCAATGAAAAAGTTCACCTAAGTCTTGCTTACAATTCAAATGTTGTCATGTAGAGTCTTTGTGTTTTCTGTGAGTTAGGACTCATGATTGAGTTCTGGGTCCTTTATCTATAGAGATATCTGTTCATAAAGTTAGATCAATATGACTTAAGAATATGTCCAATAATTGGGAGATTCAAAATCAATAGATATTTAATTAAATTTTCCCCTAACAATCACAGCTATGCTACAATAAATGGACTATCACAGGAGATAGCGAGTGTTCTAACACTGAAGCGTAAGCAGATATTGAATATTGATTGTTTAATTACCTATTTCATGCATCAAAAACCTATTGGATACCTTCTAAGTGTTAGACACTGTGCTCAGCATTAGGGAAAGGGTTGGGATTACACACATGATGACCGATATAGCCAGATTGAGAACTTGAATCCTTCTAAAAATATTCTTTACTTAAAAAAATATTTATTTAGCAGGGTGGGTAGAAACATTCAATAGATAAAACTTTTATGTGTAACATAAAGGACTTATTACATGTTCTACAAAATATTTTACTTATTTGAAATTGTATTACAATTATAATTTTCTGAATTAGCCTACCTTATTGTGATCATATTGAAGAGTTTAAATGTTATATACGCTAATAAAGACACAAATTTTAGTCAATAGAACTAAGTCACGCCCTGTTTGGTCTGGGGATGTAGCTGATTTTGCTGATGCCAGATAGTGCTCAATTGGCTAGTCATCCCATATTGATGGTGAGGCCCAGACTGGATGCTGTAATTTATACATGCCTGTAGCAACAAAGCCTAACAGACAGAGAGTAAGTCTGCTGAAGAACATTTTAACCTTTCACTCAGGTATGCCATCTCCTTCCAAAGCAGTAAGACCAGTTTCCATTTTGTAGCTGTGTAAGGTTAGTGTGAATAAATAAAATCCAATGAGGGCCATATTTCCAGTTTGCTCCAGGTTTGTTTTACTATACCTCAGAGATTGCATGTCCCAAGAGGCTGCCTGACTAACCCTTTAATATTTCTTGTTCCCAAGTAGTCTAATAATTATAAAATCAGGTGTGAAAACAAATAACCACAAGATAATGTGGTAAATGTTGTGGTGATCATTTCCACCTGGCACTAGTCAAGGAGAAACAAGGTGAGGCCACAGAGTGGTCAAGTGGCCACCAGGACTCCGTGGGAGCTGAGCTAGGTTAGAAAGGTCTTCTAACAATAAACAGCAAATATCTCAGACATTTCATGTTCAAGACAGGCTGTTGGTTTATGTGATTGTTGCTTTCTTTTCAACATGATCAGTTTGGCTATGATTTTATAGACTGTATAGAGGGAAAACTAGTGATGAACTTCTAAAAAGGAAGTCATTTACTGTTTCTCCAGAGAATCTATTGATTTTTTTAAAAAAAGGGAAGCCATATTCTGCCATTTGAGATGTAAGAGCTCTTTCCTCCAGAGTGTTGTTAAAGTTCAGAATAGGATTCACTTGCAATCTTTTGTCTAATAATGTCCATAATTAGATGATGAGGGAATGCTTCCCCTATTTTCACTTACCTAGTTCATTTGGCTTGTGACGAGTATATAGGACCCATTATAATCCAAATACCTAAAAGGATGAGAATGAGGTCTTGATAATGTCTTTGTGCTTGCTTCCCAAGGATTTATTTTTAAGTTAGTAAAGAGAATATTTACTGAGTGTTTGTAGCGAGCCTTGAATTATGCCCAACATTATAGGAGATCCTCTCTCACCCCAAACTCATTCTACCTCGTCCATTCCTATCTCTGTGAATGGTACCTGTTTCTACACAGCTGCTTATGTCAGAAATTCAGGACCCACTCTGCACTGCTCCCTCTTTCTTACCTACTGTGTTAAGTAAATACTGTTGATTGGCCAGCTATGACACCTGTCCTTTACTGATAAACGCTAAATTACTCTCATGTAGGTACATTAATCAATCACTTGGATTACTAAAATTACTTTTTTAATTATAAAGATTTCAAACATACATAAAATTATAGTGTAACATAAAAACATCTCTATACTCCCTGCCCAATTATTAACAAAACTTAACATTTTTATACATGATTCAGACTTTTTAAAAAATGGAAACAGTTAAAATCCCATTTAGTATTTATCTGTTTTCTTCACCCTCTTCCTTCCTTCATCAGAGACAAGAAGCCATGCACTTGTACATTCTTCTATTTCATGTTTTTAAAATATTTATTACACATACATGTGTTTATAAATAGCATTTGATATTCTGGGTATTAAAATATATCAATATGGTATTAAACTGTATACATCATCTTAACATTACAACTTCTTTTTCTTTTATGTTTTAATCTTTAATAAATTCTTTATTTGTCATCATTGTGGCTCATTTTAGCCTCCTCCCCTTGCTCAATGTAAACTCCTGGTCCAGCTTGACTCTTACCTTTGAGATCTATTTACTTGTTCAATTTCAGTATGCCGACAGTCCCTGACTTACAATGGTTCAACTGAAGATTTTTCAACTTTATGATGGTGAAAAAGCAATATGAATTCATTAGAAACCATACTTCAAATTTTGAATTTTGATCTTCTCCTGGGCTAGCAGTAGGCATATTAAATGCATCTTCAACTTATGGTATTTTCAGCTTACACTGGTTTATCCAGAAGTAACCCCATTGTAAGTCTAGGAGCATCTGCAAATGTTTGATAATAACAGAACTGTTAACCTGCATCCCTGTAGAAAACAACTTTATCAGCTAGAGCACAGCACTTAGGTACAATTTATTTTGCCTTTCTGCAGCATCTACTTATTTTCAAAGTTATTTGGGTCAGCATTTTCCTCCACTCACCACTTAAAACTGATCTGTTTCATACATTTGAAATGTACAAAAAGCCAGAAATCCAGGACCCACCCTGGCCTGCTCCCTTTTTCTTACCTACTGTGTTAAGGTAAGTACTGTTGATTGGGCAGATATGATACCTGTCCAATTTAATGATAAATGCTTACATTTGTAATGTATGAAACAGAATCCTTTTTCACAGCTGCCTTATGTTGCAGTGTCTTGAACCTGTAAATAATTTTTAAAATTTGCATACATAAAAGTTTACTCTTTGTGCTGTAAGGTTCTATGGATTTTGCCAAATACAAAGTGTCATGTATCCACCATTACTGTATCATAATGAATAGTTTTACTACCTACAAAATCCTCCATGTTTTACCTATTCAGGACTCTTCTGGCAAAAACTGACCTTTTTATTGTTGCTATAGTTTTACCTTTTCCAGAAATCCACATAATTGAATCAGGTAGAATGTGGCTGTTTTAGATTGCCTTTTGTTTTTAACTTAGCAATTTGTATTTAAGATTTGTCCACATATTTTTTGTGGTTAAATAGCTTATTTATTTTTACTCTTGAATAATGTTCCATTATATAAATTTACTTCATGTAGTTTGTTGAACAATTCATCTACTGAAAGACCTCTTTGCTGCTTTTAGCTTTTGGATATCATAAATAAGACTGGCATATCATTTACATGTGTGTTTTTCTGTGGACATACGTTTTCAAACCAGTTGGGTAAATACCTAGGAATGTGATTGCTGGATCATATGGTAAAGCTAGACTTTCACATTGCTGGTGACAGTATAAACTGCTACAAGCTTTCTATAAAGTATTTGCACATTATTTCTCAAAAGATTTCACATTCTAATACCATTTGACCCACTATTTCTATTTCTAGGAATGCATCCAAAGGAAACAATTACAAACGGGAATAAATATTTATGAACAAATATGTGCATTATTTATGAGAGCAGAAACTGGAAACCACCTAAAAATCCAGTACTATGAAAATGAATATGTAAAGTATTACATATGCTCATGTGAAGAAATAGAATGTAATTATTAACAATTACATTTGTAATGTTTATTAATGATAAAAATACTTGTAACATTAAGTGAGGAAGGTAGATTATAAAATTATATTATCTCAATTATGTAGAGGAAAATGCTTAGCACAAGGCTGAAAGAAAACATGTCTAAAATATTAATGACAGTTGCTTCTGAGTATAAAAAAGAGGTGATTTTCTTCCCTGCTTTGCTGAAGATGTCTGTAATTTCTGATTCTCACTCTAAGTATTAAAGTATTTGATAACCCAGGAGGGATTTTAAAATCATTTTAATAGGGTATTTTGGAAGTAGAGACATTTTTACACCCAAATCCAAATACTACCACCTCCATGAAATCTTCCAAAGTCCCCTTAATTAAAAAATAACTCCCTACTTGATTAATTTTACTCACATTAATTTATCCATTTAGCAATCTCTATGTCATATGCTATGGTTGTGATAGGCCCATATTCTATGCCCTACAGGAATCCTGTATTTATAGGACAGGAAAGCACATAATTTTTTTTTCATTACGAGATTTGCACAGCTTTCTTACTAATAGCCAAAAACTGGAAACAACCCAAGTGATTTTAACTGGATAAATGTATAACAAAGTAATATCTCATACAATGAGATATTACTCAAAAATTTAAAAAAATGAACAATTAATATACATGAAAACATGGGTGAATGTCAAAAACATTATGCTGAACAATGGAAGTTACAGGATAATGAAATATCTTCAAAGGAAAGTACATAATTAACAGAGTGATTTTAAAAATATGCACCATATCTAATGAATGTATTTATACAGTGACTTGGGATAACAGAGGAAGGAATGACAACTTTGCTTTCCTGAAGAGGTAGAATTATTGACTTGGCTTATAAGGGCATTCAATGGAAGTCACCTGTTAAAGAATCAAACATGGGAAGATAGGGATTTGTAATCACAGGTAATAGGGGGTGCAAAGTTTCCAGTAAGCTTCTGAGTGGATGGAAGATTAACTGAGGCGAAGTTAGTCTAATTAGACAAGAGGCAATGATTTATGGACTTGCCTGCCATGTCATAATTTGGGTTGGGTTTTATAATTTTACATTGTATTAGGGAACCATTGAAGGTTTGGTTTAGTAGGGAATTGATACATCCACTTTCTTGTTATTTAAAGTCTGTTTTCCCACAACACAATACAGTGTTTGGCATGTAATATGTATATTTTTGAGATGAAGTCTCACTCCGTCACTCAGGCTGGAGTGCAATGGCATGGCCTCAACTCACTGCAGCCTCTGCCTCCCAGGTTCAAGCAATTCTCCTGCCTCAGCCTCCCAAGTAGCTGGAACAATAAGCACGTGCCACCATACCTGGCTAATTTTTGTAGTTTTAGTAGGGACTTGGTTTCACCATGTTGGCCAGACTGGTCTTGAACTCCTGACTTCAAATGATCCACCCACCTCAGCCTCCCAAAGTGCTGGGATTACAGGCATGAGTCATGGCGCCTGGCTCTGCCATGCAATTTTAAACAGGCTTGGCATTCAATAAATGGTGGTGGTAGAAGAGAATTCTGACTTTGGTCAAAGGCAAGTCGTGTCTGAGATTGGCAGAAATGATCTCTTGTGGGTGTTTGGAAATTGAAAACTAAAACTCAGATATAGTTTAGAGAAAGGATTCTCAGCAACTTTTCATGATCGATCTCATAAAGAGCCTTTTTAGACACTTTTTACCTCATAATCACTGCACCCCTGCAAAATTTGAACACTGGAGATATACTTGTTATTTATCTAACTTTATGTTTATCTGTGCTTCATGTGGAAGAAGATACCATTTTATTTTTTACCTCTTTCCCTCAAGATAAATTTTTGTCCATTTAGTGTTGATAGGATCCCCACTGAAAGTACATAGGTTGAC